CGATCAGAGTTGGTTATGATCGATCAGAATTGAATTATGACCGATCAGACTTATTTCAATCGATTAAAACGTATTTCAATCGATTAAAATAACTTAGAAAATCTTTTCAATCGATTAAAACGAACTTTCAATCGATTAAAATGACTTGAAAATATATGTGCAGATTTTCAATCGATTGAAACGACTTTATATCAGTTAAAATAACTTGGAAAGTTTTATAAGAAGGTTTTTAAACAAATCAATCGATTAATACGCGATTCAATCGATTGTTTTATACTTAGAAAATGTTTGTAAAACGTTTTAACTGATATAAACATGGTTGTATCAACTAAAACATTTTCTGTTAAAGATCAAGAATGCATTAATGGGTTGAAAGGACTTTTAACAGATTGTAACGGCTATTTCAACAGATTAAAACAAACTTTCAACAGATTAATTAATGCAGCAGATTTGAAAATACTCTTTTATAAACAGATTTGCTTGAAACTTTGAGATAGAGATCACACATCAGTTTTGACACAATTCAAGCAATCAATACAAGCAACTATTAGCATTTTTCAAGAAAGATACACATCTGTTTTTGTGAACTTCTTTTGAAATCTTTCTTGAGGCACTTTGCATTTCTTTGAAGAAGAAACTGACTGTGGATTGGTGTAATCCGGTTTGAGCTTTCTTTGTTTCTTCTTTTAAATTTCTATTCATTCATTTGTACTGTTTTGTACCTGGAATTTGGGTACAAGTTTTCTGCAGCTGTTGTAGAAAGTTGCCAAGAACTGGAATTTGGTTCTTGGTGGAAAGGTTAAAGCAAGAGCTGGAATTTGGTTCTTGTGTGTGGTGCCTGGAATTTGGGCACTTGGGTTCTCTGTGGCTGGAATTTGGTTGCGAGAGGTTTCCAAGAGCTGGAATTTGGTTCTTGGTGGAGAGTTAGAATAGGTGTAAGAGGGTGAGTCTGTAAAACATCTATTCTAGTGGAACCCAGCTGGAATTTGGTCGGAGTCTGGACGTAGCCCTGGTATTGGGTGAACCAGTATAAAATTACCGGTGAAATCTTTCCTAACCTTTCTCTCTTTAATTTCTGCTGCTGCACTTAAACTGTTTGATTGCTTTGTGATTTGTGAATTGATAAGTAATCTTAATTTTCGAATTAGATAATCTGTGTATTGCGAAAAACTTTCAAAAATCAATTCACCCCCCCTCTTGATTTAAAACTACTTTTCTAACAGGTTGGATATCAAATCAGAATGCATGTTGGATATTTCAAAAACAACTTTAGAATACACTAAAGGAATTATGGGTTTTTCGTAATGTCTTTCGGATTAACCAATGGTCTAACAACTTTCCAATGCGTTATGAATACCACAACTTTTCCTTCGAAGATTTGTGTTGGTTTTTTTAGATGACATTTTAATTTATAACAAATCTTGGGAAGAGCACCTAAACCATGTTAAACAAGTTTTGGCTAGGCTATTAGATCAGTCCTTCTTTGCTAATCAAAAGAAGTGTAGTTTTGGGAAATTGAAGTTAGGATATCTAGGTCATATCATATCTAACAAGGGAGTTTCTATGGATCCTCAAAAGATTGAAGCAGTTCTACAATGGCCTTTTCCTAAGAATTTGAGAGATTTGAGGGGATTCCTAGGGTTGACAGGTTATTATAGAAAATTCCTTAATAAGTATGGTCACATTGCTTGCCCTTAAACGGAAATATTGAAAACAAAAAATTTTAAACGGACTCAAAGTAGTATGGAAGCTTTTAATTGTTGCAACAAGCTATTACTACAGCCCCAGTTTTAGCTTTACCGGATTTTTCGTAACCATTTGCAATTGAGTGTGATGCATCAGGTAAAGAAATTAAAGCAATTCTTATGCAAGACAAAAGGCCTATTGCTTATTTTAGTAAGGCTGTAGAAACCACCCTTCCTAAATCTATTTATGAAAAGGAATTTATGGCTCTTGTCTTAGCAATTGAGCATTGGAGACCATATTTGTTGGGACAGACATTTACTATTTTTACATACTAGAGAATTCTTAGATACTTGTTGGAGCAGAGGGTTACAACACAAAATCAGTAAAATTGGTTAGCCAAGTTATTGGGGTATGAGTTTGAAATTGTTTACAAAGTTGGAGCTTCTAATAGAGTGGAGGATGCATTATCCAGGAGAGATGAGTATTTAGAACTGCAAGGTATTTCAAAGCCTTATTTGGCAGATGTTCAACTAATGCTTGAATAAGTTAGAGAAGATCCATTTTGGCTAAGATCATAGAGGAGTTACACGTTGATCTTGATTCAAATCAGTATTATATATTCAAACAAGACCGAGTACACTATAAAGGGAGGTTGGTTCTGGCAGTTAATTCAGAATGGATTCCCAAATTATTTCTTGAATTTCATGCAACTCCTACAGGAGGTCATTCAAGTATCTACAGAACATATTGTAGGTCAGCACAATTTTTTTTCTAGATAGGTTTGAGGGGAACAATCACTAAATCTGTGGCAGGGTGTCATGTATGTCACAAGAATAAATACCAAGCATCCTCACTAGCTAGTTTGTTGCAGCCTTTACCAATTCTTAATGCCATTTGACAAGAAATCAACATGGATTTCATTATAGGCCTTCCTAAATCTAGGGGATTCAATGTGGTTCTAGTGGTCATGATCATGATCCTACCTTTATAGGCCTTCCATCGTCAGTGATCATGATCCTACCTTTATGAGTCATTTTTGGAAGGAATTGTTCAGGTTACAGCGTACAACTTTAAAAATGAGTACAACATCCCATCCAGAATTTGATGGCCAAACAAAGGTTTTGAATAGAACAGTGGAAACCTATCTATGATGTTTTTGCTCAGAGCAACCTAAAGGTTGGGAAAAATTCATTCCCTGGACTTAATATTGGTATAACACTGATTTTTAGGGTGTTGCACATTGCACACCTTTTGAAGTAGTTAATGGAAGATCCCCACCTTCTTTAACCAAGTTTATTCCTATAGAAACCTTAGTAGAATTTGTAGCTCAAGATTTAATGGATCGTGATGAGGCTTTAAAGCAATTAAAATTCCATTTGCAGAGAACGCAAAATCAGATGGCAAAACATGCGAATAGAAAGAGGAAGGCAACTACAATACAACCAAGAGATTGGGTATATCTGAAGATCAGACCTCAAACAGACAAGCATGGCTACCAAACTTCATCCTAAATTAGGAACAAGGTATTATGGAGCTTACTTGGTCTTACAACAAGTGGGAGCAGTAGCGTTTAAATTAAGAACAGACTCGTATACACCCTGTTTTTCATGTTTCTCAACTTAAGAGTGTGGGAAGTCATCCCATTGAGTCAATTTTACCAGGAGAACTTCACGGAGCAACAGACAAATATCAGCCTCTACAAATCTTAACAAATAGAGCAGTGACTACAAATGGGGAAGCAAATCCACAAGTATTGGTAATGGAAGAATAAACCTACAAAAGAAGCATATCGGGAAATCTTTTAGAGTTCAGCAGTTAATTTCCAAATGTTAACCTTGAGGACTAGGTTGTTTTAGAGGAAGGGTGTATTGTTAGACAAAATAGAGACAACAAGGAATGGGGAAAACCTTATGTTAGAAGAAAAAATAGAAAGGGTTAAAACTGTAATTAGCAGGTGTTCCTAGTAGGTTGTTATTTCTGTTAGTGTATGACGAGAAAATAAATAGGTCCACTACTGTATGTAGAAGGACACTTTTTACAAATAGAGAAAAAAAAAGTCAATGTTGGGTATTTCCAGTGTGAAAAGTAGAGTGTTCTTTTTGGGGTAATTTTGTTTACCCTGTTTCTGTAGTACTTTCAAAAGGCTAGTGAAATAATGGTTAGATATTTTAGATATTATTAATCACAATATATGTATTTTCCATATTTACTTGTATAACTCTTAACTATAAATATATTTCCCCATGTGTATTTTAGACACAAGGAAAATTAATCCTATACCTAGTTTTTTACTGTATTCAACAATAATATTGAGATATTTTTCAGTATCTTAATTACTACGGTTAGAAGGCATGGGTGAGTGAGTCAAGAATTTCAGATTTATTGTGTAAAGGCAGTGAGGGGTTCCTAACAGAAATCCTCCAAATGATTGATTATATGTAGTTGATTTCAATCGCTAACATTAGTAAATCAAGAAAATAAGGACATTAAAATTTAGAATCTCAAATATGAGGAAACTAGAAAAATAAGAGGACTAGTAAATAGAAGTCAATAGAAATCAAATCCTAATTACACAGAAAATATACAGTACCTTACCGGGAGATGCTTTCACTGATTTGGAAATACATTCCAACACTCCTCAATCCTCCCTACTGATTAGGCTATAAGTTCAATTAAATCCTATATCCTTCATCAATAGCTTTTGAAGGACACTCTTCCACCTTTCTGTGATATCTTGTCTAGTGACCAAGACTTTACCATTCAAATTTCAAATCATTCCACTCTTTTCTTTCACTAACTGTAACAAGTCAGTAGATACTTCTTTTTCTATCTTCGCAGCCTAATAATTGGTAAACTCAATCTACTTCTCAATCTCTTGCTTCCCTCCCCAATTCTCACTTTTTTTTTTTTTTCTTTTCCAGTCACACGGACATTGCCCTTTAGACTTCAGTTTACTAAAGACCAAGCTTCTCATGTTAGAAATAACAAAATGGGTCATAGCTGTGATAAGTGCAGAGTTTCCCCATCCACTCTCATCCTAACCAACTCCAGAATCCCAACCCAAAGGATCCAAAAAAACACTGTATCTCTAGTTGCACACCAGAAACACAATGCATTCATAACTCATACGAGCTCGTAGACCAATTAAAACACCAGCCTCGAAGTACTAACATGACATCTATATGTAACTGACCATCAAAGACACAAAACAAAATCTAATCAAACAAAAGGAATCGAACATTAAAACAAATCCACTTTTGCATTCAGATTTCAGAACTGCATACTTGGATGTTAGGGTTTTCAAGCACAATACCTCATTTAGGTGGAGCAGAGTAATGTTGGAGGAGATCATCGTAAGGATCCCTCCTACCAGCAACTTGGCTAATTTGGGCATCCCATGCAAGCTGAGAATTGTGGCGTTCGAATGTCCAGAAACCATAGGGTCTCATGGGATAGCTCCACATCTCTTTCGTCTTCTCGCACCTGTCCTTTACTCTATAAACGTGCTCCCTGAACCTCCGATCTCTTTCCTTCGGGTCCTCCATCAACTTCAGTACCAAGTTCTCCGCAAATTCCATGATGAAACCCATTTCTTCTCTTCCCTTCGAATATGTACACAAATTCAATATGTTATAATAATAATAATAAAAATACACAAATTCAATCTGTTATGAACCCTAAATTATGATAGCGAACTGTGTCAAATAATTGGGAGGGAAAACGTAATAATAACAATAAAGCAATGATAAAATTCACGCTAGAACTTTTCAAGAAACATATGATGCATCTAAGAATATAAAGAGTGCAATTGAAATGGTTGAAAAGCGAAAATTTATGTAGTATGAGAAAGCGTTTTGCTTAGTTACCTCCTGTGATCAGCTTCGAATGAGATGTATTATGCTTGCCTGCTCAGTTTGTAACGTCGCCAAATCCAGTTCTAATTTTTAATTTTTTGTCAACATTACAAAAGAACCTGGGCCCAACATTACTAAGTCCATTAGGCCCACCTTTTAAGCTCAACCATTTCAAAGGCTTTAAAACTCCCTTTATTTGTATTGTTATTACAAAATATTCCCTTTTATCTAAAAAATGTATGCAAAATTTATTTTAATTTAATTTCATTGTAATTTATTAAATTTATTTATTCATATAATTTTATTTTGAAATTTTTGTCGCACAAAATTAAGATAAGTATTCTTTTAAGTATTATGAAAAGTATATTCCAAAGTTATGAAAAGTAATTCTTAAATTTCAGATACATCTGATATTTCTCCAGCCAAATTTCAATTTGTTGAAAGCCTTTCATCTTAATATGAGAAGTTCATCCTCCAATTCACTTTATTGATGTTAAGTTACGGTGAGGGAATTTACTTCAAATTCGAATCTTTATCGTAAAATCTTAACTTTACAATATTTTAACTAGAAATAATAATGAATTATTTCAAATGTTTGAGTTTAGAAATGAGTTTAATGGGCAGAAAAATCAAGAACTTACAAGGTAATGTCCAATTTTGCTTAGTCAATTAATTGGCATCAAGAAATATAATATTTAGTGACAAAATTTAAATAATATATATAAAATTTATCACTCGTAAATATATTATTTGTGACTAATTTTTAATTTATCACAAATAAATAGTGACTAAATAAAAAATTGTCATGGGTGATAAATGTAATATGCTTTAATTAAAGAAAAGTAAAAAGAAGAAGAGAGAAAAAACAAGTTTCCTTCTCCTTCCCGCAAACGGATCTCTTCTCCATAACTCATCTCTACCTTATCTCCTACATATCAGTATCTTCTTCTTTCCCGATCAAGAATCTGAGGCCGCCGTTGTGCTCATGGCGAAGAACAGTAGAAAACCCACCAATTAGAATTTCGTTTTCGGTAAGTTTGAATTTTAGGATTTTTACAAGTTAAAATTTGGGGTTTTGAGAATTTAAGGAATTATTTGTGGAATTAAAGGTTTCCTCTTACTCTGTCACTCCCAAATTTCATGTTCTGGGTTTAATTATGTTTATTACTTCAATTTTGTTTGTAAGGTTTTCCAGATTGGGGAAGAACGGTACCTCTTAGGTGTTTTGGCGTTCCTAAGGCTTTATTGGAATTAGGTTGACGTGTAACATCACCTACAAGTAAGGGAGACTTCTTTGATTTTTACGGGCTGTATTATATTGATGAAAAGTTTAATAAAGTGAGTGATAAGTATGCTTGTGATATATATACGTGTCATACGTGATATGAGAGTATGCTTGTGATATATACGTACTATCACTAGTACAAAATAGGCTTTTAACATCGGTTCTAGAACCGATGTAGATACGACCGATGTAGAAAGTGTGACTTTCCACATCGGTTGTAAGGAACCAATGTAGAAAGTCTAATATTTTTATTTATTTTATGTATTCATAATACTCTCTAATTACCCTATCTATCTCCTCTACCATCCTCTCCCTTTTATATTATATTTTTATTATTTATATTTTTTAGGAATTTGAATTATTATCAGATTAAGAGAATTGTCACTGGCAAGATTCGAACCCAGTACCTTAGAGTCGGAGGTCGATACTCCAACCACTAAGCTACCAAGATTTTCCGATAATAACTTATACATAAATTATATTTATATACAAATAAAAATGTATATCCATGTAAATATATAAATATAAAATAAATAAATACAAATACAAATATATTTATATATTTATATGTTGGATGTGAGGACGCGCTCGAGGATGAAAGTGTGTGTCGAGTGAATTTTCAAAATTTGATGTCAAATTTGTGAGCAGGTCTCTTTATATGGATTATAACTTAATGACAAAATATAAACTTTATAATTTATTTATATAATGATATAAAATAATTTTTTTTTCTTTATTTTATATCATTATATAAATTAATTATAAAGATTATATTCTATATTATTATAAATAAATTATAAAGATTATATTCTATCATTAAATTACAAATTCATATAAAGATACTTGCTCACAAATTTGACATCAAATTTTGAAAACCAACTTGACACACACTTTCACTCTCGAGCGCGTCTCACATCCAACATATAAATATATAAATATATTTGTATTTGTATTTATATATTTTATATTTATATATTTACATGGATATACATTTTTATTTGTATATAAATATAATTTATGTATAAGTTATTATCGGAAAATCTTGGTAGCTTAGTGGTTGGAGTATCAGTCTCTGACTCTAAGGTATTGAGTTCGAATCTTGTCAGTGACAATTCTCTTAATTTTATAAAAGACTTTCTACATCGGTTCATATGGGAACCGATGTAGAAAGTGTTTTTTACATCGGTTCATCTGGGAACCGATGTAAAAAGTGTTTTCTACATCGGTTCCTAACTAAACCGATGTTGAAAGTCTTGAATTCACTTTCTACATCGGTTCTTAAAGAACCGATGTAGAAAGGCCGATGTTAAAAGTGATTTCTGTACTAGTGTATATGTGATATGAGAGTATGCTTGTGATATATATACGTGCTATATGTGATATGAGAGTATGTTTATGATATATATACGTGTTATATGTGATATGAGAGTATGCTTGTGATATATATAAGTGCTATATGGGATATGAGAGTATGCTTGTGATATATATACGTGCTATATGTGATATTGTGAGCATTTGTGCAAACCTTGCAGTGTAAACTGTTTTGAAATAGATATCTTTGTATCATTGAATTTCTAAATTGTATGGTTAGTTTGTGTGGTTTGAAAGAGAAATGATGTACACTACAAAAAAAAAGCCTATTACCTACGGAATATTACCTACGGATACAAATCCGTAGGTAAATTTTACATTACCTACGGATATTACCCACGGATAAAAATCCGTAGGTAAATTTTACATTACCTACGGATATTACCCACGGATGAAAATCCGTAGGTAAATTGTACATTACCTATGGATATTACCTACGGAATTCTATCTGTAGGTAATTATCCATTACCTACGGATATTACCTACGGATATTACCCACGGATGAAGATCCGTAGGTAAATTGTACATTACCTACGGATATTACCTACGGAATTCTATCCGTAGGTAATTATCCATTACCTACGGATATTATCTGTAGGTAATGTAATCCGTGGATAATTCCGTAGGTAATTACCTACGGATATTACCTACGGAATTCTATCCGTGAGTAATTATCCATTACCTACGGATATTTTCCGTAGGTAATATCATCCGTGGGTAATTCCGTAGGTAATTACCTACGGAATTACTATCCGTAGATAAATTATATTAAACTAAAAAAATTGTCACTAGCAAGAATCGAACCCAATACCTTAAAATTGAAAACTGATACTTCAACCACTAAACTATTAGGATATTCTAATAATAATTTACAACTAAATTATACTTATATTAATTCGTGTAAATATATAAATATATAAATATATAAATATATAAATATATAAATATATAAATATAAAATATATAAATATAAAATATATAAATATATAAATATATAAATATATAAATATATAAATATATAAATATATAAATATATAAATATATAAATATATAAATATATAAATATATAAATATATAAATATATAAATATATAAATATATAAATATATAAATATATAAATATATAAATATATAAATATATAAATATATAAATATATAAATATATAAATATATAAATATATAAATATATAAATATATAAATATATAAATATACAAATATATAAATATACAAATATATAAATATACAAATATACAAATATACAAATATATAAATATACAAATATATGAATACACAAATATATGAATACACAAATAGATAAATACACAAATACATAAATACACAAATACATAAATACATAAATACATAAATATATAAATACATAAATATTTAAATATTATAAATATTTAAATATTTAAATATTTAAATATTTAAATATTTAAATATTTAAATATATAAATATATAAATATATAAATATATAAATATATAAATACATAAATATATAAATACATAAATATATAAATATATAAATATATAAATATATAAATATATAAATACATAAATATCTAAATACATAAATATATAAATACATAAATACATAAATACATAAATATATAAATACATAAATATATAAATACATAAATACATAAATACATAAATATATAAATAGATAAATATATAAATATATAAATATATAAATATATAAATACATAAATATATAAATACATAAATATATAAATATAAATATATAAATATATAAATATATAAATATATAAATATATAAATATATAAATATATAAATATATAAATATATAAATATATAAATATATAAATATATAAATATATAAATATATAAATATATAAATATATAAATATATAAATATAAATATATAAATGTATAAATATATAAATATATAAATATATCAAAATATAAATATATTTTATATTTATATATATTTTATATTTATATATATTTTATATGTATATATATTTTATATTTATATATTTTATATTTATATATATATATATATTTTATATTTATATATATTTTATATTTATATATATTTTATATTTATATATTTA